CGCCATGGGCCGCGTCATGTCGGGGATGCACTATCGCTTCGACAGCCCCGACGAGTACCGCTGGTGGAACGAGAACGCGGCGCGTTACCCCAACCAGGTTTACTACCGGGATTACAGCAGCCCCGTCTCGCAGGACGTCTTCGTCGCCGACTGCTTTAACATCACGGTGACCGAGTACAACATCGGCCCCGCCGCCAAGAAGAACGCCTCGGAGGAGGCCGGCCCGGCGGCGAACCAAACGGAGGTGGAGCTGGAGACCAAGGTGGTGACGAAGGTGATCCGGGAGATGTGCATCCAGCAGTACCGCGAGTACCGCCTGGCCTCCGGCATCCGGCTGCACCTCGCCGACGCCTCCCTCGCCGCCCTCCTCCTCCTCACCCTCTTCGCCATGCACTGATGGATCCCACGGCTTCGAGATGGCACCCGTGTCCCCGTGGGGACCCCCTGAACCCCTCCGGTCTTGCTTGCGGTCGGTTTTGGTGAAGAGCCCTTGGGGCACGTGGGCACCGACGCTCCTCATCGCCTCCCCGGTGGCTCCGGTTTAGGCAAGCGGATGAAAATTTCCTTCTCCACCCTATAGCACGTCCCTGGCACGGGACAGTGATGGAGCTGGATGCCTAAAAAAAGGCCTTCACCACCTCCTCTTCCTCGGGGCCTCCTCCACCGGGCAGCGAGGAGCTTACTGGGTCCTTGGTGTCTCTACAAGAGCGTTTCCAAAAATCCTCTTTGCTAACAAGCAGGGTTTGGCCTGATCCCCTTAGTCCCACTGCCACTAAAACCCCTTTCCCGGGGTGCGCCGCAGCGCTGCACCTACGTACCCGTAGGGGTTTTAGGAAGATCACATCGGGGTTTTTCAAGCAACAAGCTGCCAGCTTCCAATTTTAACACTTTAATCCTAAAAAACCCCACCCTTCCTTGTGTATATACCAACCTGCCCGCTCCGCACGTTGCATGCTGCAAGCACCTCCTGCAGCAACACCCAAAAAATAAAGGGATTTTTGTGCTGGTTTTTCTGCAGCGAGGCTGAAGCCCTCCTCCCCAAAAAAACAACCCCAAGCGGTAACACTCAGTACATTACAGCCCGGGAAAGTTCTTGTGGATGCGCTATAGGTGACAAGTCACGCTCACGCTTCAGCACCTTGACCTAAAGGATGATAAATCACAGCAAAAGAGATGCTCGGGGTGGGGGTCAAGCATGTAGCAAGAGACTTAAATCAGCAAAATCAGATGGTTACAGCAAACAGCATCGGGAAAACTTAGCCTGAGGGCTGGGAGATGCTTAAAAAAAAAAAAAAAAAAAAAAAAAGCACCTTTTGCAAGTCGTTTGTGGAAGCCGTGGGTGAAATTCTTGCTTCTTGTGTTTGGGGCGATGCTGGGTTGGACCAAACCTGCAGCATCTGTAAAGTTGCACTTGTCGAACGGGTCGCCCCAAGTTATGTTTAATATCTCTCATGTATTTTACTTTTTTTTTTTTT